GTGGTTTTTAATGCGCAATTTTTTTAATTGCGTAAAATTAGCGTGAATAGAAACGTGGCGCTTGCAAAGAGTGACTACTCAAAGTCCCCATGCTAATATGACCTCGTGGTGATTGAAAGTAATGAAGTCTGTTGTTGTTTTGGTGTCACTTTGTTATCAGTTTGCACTTGCTTCTTCGACTACTCTGGCGAAACCAACCGGGCACCTCCCTGTAAAACAAAATTTTTTGCCTGCCTACCTTCGCAGGGTTATTCTATCTCGTGCCAACAAACGTTTAATACGTTTTCCTTAAGGCGTATAGTGGCGTCGTGTAGTTCGGAGTTCATAGTGGAGTTACGTTTTGATATCGTCGATCGCCACCTTCGATTCGCAACCTGCAATCGACGCTGGCCTTATGTTCCTGGGTGTGGGTTAAGCGCCAACTAGTTTGTCACCGGATACGTTGTCTCTCTAAATAAAAAGGTAGTCTATTAAACTTCTTATCCTCCCTAACTTCCAGTTAGTGACCGTGAAAATAAAATAAAATTTACACATGTGAAATACAACTTGATAAAATAATGCAACAACCAACGTTGACCGTTGAAATACAACTTGACAAATAACAAACCGGTTCCAATAACTCTAGCAACCTGACTTTACTAATCTAAAAATTTAGTTGACAACCCTTAGTTGTTTCAGACAATACCGAGACTTCGTTGTATCTCTACAAAAGATATCGGTCCCAAAGGTTACAAAGACTTACATGAACTTCATACCACAATTGATTTTTTTGTTTCACCAATATTCAAATGTCTTCCAGATGGATGATATCCGGGATGGACTTAGAGACTTTACATGATATAAGATTTATACGGATAACGATGTGAAATACGTTTTTAACGTCGAAAAAGACAACCAGAACAATTCTGGAGGAACTATTTTTATTTGTACGAAACAACGAATTCGAATACTAAGTCAGTAATAAGTTACCATATGATTTTAGGTACCTTTTTTTAACGCAGAGTGACAAGAATCCAGTTTATAAATATACGCTATTTTTTACGCTAATTAACGCTATTACTTAAATGTTTCGGCATTATTAAATCTAATTAAAAAATTAGCTCGGGCCGGGATTAATATGAATGTAATAACGGACTTAACCCCTATCCTATCCGATAATAATCCAATTCAGAGGCAATAATGTAATATATAATACATTATTTTATATATATATTATATATTTATATAGTTACAACCGGCCCTTTGAGTGCAACCTTTTTGCAAATGTGGCCCGCGATGAAATTGGGTTTGACACCCCTGCTTTAGACGTTTGGTTGTGTTATCAGCCTTTTTTTTCTTTTTCAAAAAGTAAATGTCTGTATGGAACAAAAGGTAAAGCCATGCTGCTGGAGTCAGAAATTGCCACTAGTCTTAAACCAAATTGTACTAACATGTTCCAGCCCTCGTGCAGGCTTCATGATGCTCTTCCCTTTGAAGCATTGTTTGAATACAAATGGTGCATTGTTTTCATCAAGTCAATGGTATCTGGGTAGGCTATGACTTAATCAATTTCAGAGTGCCAAGATATCTATAAATAGTCACACAATGTAAATCTACTGTGACCTAGACCAAAACTATAACAAAATAATGGCACACCACTGACATACTTTAACATACAACGCCCTATAAATGTACATCCTAATGTAGATTGTCTTGCTCGATTGTACTTGGGTTGAATCTATTGGTGAGAGCTTCTTCCTTATAAAATTCAAAAGTTCCAGATTTAAAATATCCGAAAATAGAACGACATTTTGATGTGTGGCAACAAAACCAGGAAGTATAGGGACATTTTCCACATTGGCAGTTGGTATTTGACACACATGACCTCTAAGTGTTAGTGCTGCGTGTTGACAGACATTATATAGAAAGGATGCTTTCAAATGTGAGTGTTTCCTTTAAGATTTTGACAATCAAGCATGGTTCCTGTTACATATGCTGTATGTTTACCCTATGACCTAATAGCTGCATTGTGTGTCAGGAACATGTGTGTTTAAACTTGAACTACGCATCTCTGCCTGTGTTTACAATGAATATGTGTCCATTGTATGCTTTGTGCATCCTGTGGGACCTGGCACAGGGCCTTAATGTCTTCACAAAGAAACGCAGGGCGGTAGTGCAGGCACAAATGAACAAAGATGTCAGACAATATTTACAGACACGCACACAAATCTGCAATAATGGAGACCAGTTAGTATGTTGGGTGGACATACGCCCCACGCACATGCATGCATATGTTCTCCCTGAGCCCTCGCTGCTCATTCGTCTCTTCG